GTGTGTCCTTTGCCATTCCCTATCACTCCACCCTGAGAGAGACTTCACCCTGATTCATAAGGAAAAGGGGATGGCATATTCTCTTAGCTACTTCCTGCTGAAAAGGGACGCTGTGGGTTTCAGGGTGAAGATCTTCTCTCACTACTCAAAAGACAATTTTTAAAAGTTAGTTTCTAAAAATAATTACAATAGAAACATTTTACTCAGCAAATATTATTTGTAAATAAAGGAACACTTTTTCATGTTTGATTTTGGATATTTTTATTAAAATTATGTTTTTTTAAATTCTTCTAGAAAACACATAAAAAGTGGTTAAAAAGTTTCAAAGTCTCAAAAACAAAAAGGTTGCATAATCTCCACACTTCAATGTATCTGTGCATGCACATGCATTCCAGCACCACATATAATATAAAATGGCGTAAGCCTGATCTCAGAGAAGGTGCTGACACAATGCTCCTCGAAAGCACAGATGATGAACTTTCATCTCACATACTTTAGGCATGTTGCTAAGAAAACTTAGCCCTTGGAAAGGGTCACCATGCTTGGGAAGGTGGAGAGGGGTAGTGAAAGAGTGGAAGACCTTCAAACAGGTGGGTTGATACAATGACTACAGCAACGGGCTTGAGTACATCAGAGATTGTGAAGATGACATGAGATAAGACGGTGATCAGAATGGTTACTCAGAGAGTCACTATGAGTACAGTATAAGCCTGCTCACCTGTGGCACTTAACAACAAGCTTGATCTCCAGTAGAGCTAATGCAGGATAAGGGGAACCCTATCCATCGTTCAGTTGATCCTTGTGAGCAAATGGGTGGGAAGAAAGTGTTGCATCTTTCACTTTCACTGACATAATCAGAAGTCGGTGCCTCCTTGCTCCAGTTCTGGGTTTACACAGGATCACCCAAAGTCAAGAAAGTGGGCGCCCGGTGCTAGGTTCCTTCACTGTTATATGCATCATCTCTCTTTAATTGGCATCTTTGCTCAGTTTCTTAACTGCTTTGTTTGTTTGTTTGTTTGTTTTTGTTGGAGAGGGATCAGTATCACAGTCTATCTAGATGGTAAGTAACTAAAGGTAGTAAATGAGAATGAAAGAAGAAAACCTAAAAAAGAGAAAAAAAAAACAACCCATCTCAAAACACTACTTTGATCAATATCACAGTCAGTTTCTTGACTCCACAGCAATAAAATAATCCACATGCTGAAATTTGAGAACTTCATTGCCCCAACTAGTCCAACCTGGCTGTAAATTTCGCGCAAACAACTCCAAATATTCGCCATCTGGCTTAATGTAGTCTTTTAGAACCTCTGTCAAAAAAAAAGTAAAGAAAAAAAGGAAAATTATTAAGAAAAAAATGAATCAATATTCACTAGAACTGACAAACATAAAAATGAAATATTCCTTGAAAAATATACATCAAATCAATTTCAAGGATTTCATTCATAAGCTTTTTATGATTTATACTCAGAAAGTCACTTGAAGTAAGTGTCCAGGAGTTTGGTAACACCACCAAGAGAAATTTTAATATTTTTTAAAATTTTCATATGTACAAGAGAAATGAGAATTTTAACACCCAGACAAACGATTTTTCAACTTTACAATCTTATTACTAAATCATCTCCTGAGTACTAATATATTTTTAATAAATATAACCAATGCATCAAATCCTATACAAATAATACAAAAAAAAAACACTTTAAAAACTAAGATAAAACATGCTGCTCCTTGGAGGCAAGGATTCTGGGGCTTCGCATGACAAACTTTGGACATGTTGTAAGGAGAAACAGGTCTTTGGAGAGGGACATCATGCTGGGCAGAGTGGAGGGACAGTGCAGGAGGGGAAGACACTCTATGAGATGGATTGATTCAGTGACTGGGGTAATCGGGATGGGTGTGTCAGAGGCAGTGCAATTGGCACAGGATAGAGCAGGGTTTAGGGCTGTTGTACATAGGGTCGCCATGAGTCGAAAACGACTCGACGGCACATAACAACAACAACAACTTTGAAAACATAATTCCTTTCCAGGGCAGTATAAAGAGTAGATTCAAATAGAAAGGTTTAGAACAAATAACTACCTTTACCAGTTCTCATATAGATCAAACATAATGCTCAAGTCAGATGTTATTTTATTTCTTTAGTTCAGCTCAGGAGCTCTGGTGGCCTAGCCTATAAGGAGTTGTTCTGCTGACTTAATGGCGGTACTGTCTTGGCAGTTCAAAACCATCAGCAGCTCTGGGGGAGCCAGTGTGATCTCAGACCCAGAAAACCTTCAGGAGGGTGATCTATGAGTTGGTTCTGGCTTAACAGCAGTGAGTTTAAGAGTTGTTTCTAAACTATTGTTTGGTTTTATGAAGACTGCCAAGGATATTTTCTGTTTAATGCTTAAGTAATATCTCAAGGCAATAGTTTAAGGGGTTTGTCTAACTTTCATGGCTCCCAAAGGTCTAGAGTTCAGGGGAATTTTAAATTCACACTTTCCCCTTTTGATAAGGATTCTTTGATGAAATCCTGGATCAAATGATGTTTTTCAAATTGTGATATTGGTGAAGAACAATGAATATGCCATGAACTGCCAAAGAAGAACAAAATACCTTAGAAGAAATACAAGCAGAATGCTCCTTTAATGTGAAAATAGATTATTAAGAATAACTTACAAAAGGACACCATTTTTGGTAAAGCAGAAGGTTAATTAAAACAAGAGAGACTGTAATCAGCTGGGTTTACAAAATAGTTACATCCATGAACATAAATACAGCAATGATCTTGAAGATTAAAAAAATAATAATTGTACAGTAATGGTAGTAAGGCACCAACTTGCTCTAGTTTCATGGCAAAGAAGACAGGTGTTCATGGAGGCAAACAGTCATACATTCCATCAAACTCATAGCTGTTCAGACATAACCAACTCAAAACTGACCCTCCAGCAGGTCTTTAGAGGTTCTAAATTACACAGGAGGAGATCATCCATCTTTTTCCTGCATAGCTGCTGGGCATTCCAAGTGCCGGAGAGGTGCCACTTTTGAGTTGGCAGCACACGTCCCTGTGGACTGCACCACCAGAGCTCCATTATACAGTCCCATCCTCCTCCTCTTCCTGACTCTCTCCCTTCCGTTGTTGCTCCAGGGAATACAGGCCAAATGCCATGCCTTGGATTTTAACATTCTAATCATGGTGCAACAAACTAGGAGGCAGAACAGAAGCACCAAGCATATTACTAGACCAACGAAATAGGATGTCTCATGAAACCATGATTCAAAACCTGCAAACTGAGATGCCAAGTCCTCCTGAGAGCTATGGTGGTATATAAGCAGGCTCATCAGCTCATTTTCTTTTTCTAAATTTTTGGTATTTGAGTTAAAATTTATGGAACAAACAGGTTTCCCACTTAACAATTCATATGTACTTTGTTTTGTGACACTGAATACAGAGCCCCACAACAGAACAGTATTCTTCCCACTTTCTTCTGATGCTCCCTATTTCCATTTGAACTTAGTTGCTTTCTGATGTTCTGCGTTTTACCTCTTGACAAATGCTGCCCTTTTAATTCTGCATGACTAACAGGAGTGTGTTTCACCTTGGTGTTAGGGATCATCTTACAAATCTGCCTACTTATTGTTTGGCTGAAAGAGGAGTCATGAGGATGAGTTTAGTTCCTGGCTTAAAGGGTGACTAAAGGACTAAAGGGGTCCACTAGTTTCTATTAGATCAGTCAAGTCTAACCTTTCTTGTCATTTTTATTTTTGCCCCATATTTTTCTCCTATTCTGTCAAGGACCTTCTACTGTGATCCCTTTTAGAATGGTCAGCACTGCTGGACAACATGTTGTTCTTCTGGTCTCTGGGTTACATACACTGAAGTTCATTGAATCTATTAGTCCCTTGGACTAACAGTCTCTGATTTTCTGCATTCTCCATTGGTTTGTATGGGGAAAGAGGCCCACAGTTGCACTTGCACTTAAATAACTATTACAAGCTTCTAAAGTCCCAGTGGATACTCACCAAAGTGTGAAGTAGAATATTGTTCTTATGGACTATGTCATGTCAACTGACTTTGATGACCTCCTAGGGTGCTCAGTTTTCAGCTTCAGTAACTCATTCTCTCAAGGTATCAGATTATGATTAAGAAGTTTTCATAATTTTGCACTGTTTTCTCTATTATATACATGAATCTATTTACATTTGTAGTTGTTAAGTGCCGTCAAGTCGCAGGCGACTCATAGAGACCCTATGAACGAGAGTCCTCGATACTCTATTTACAGTACCTCCAAGTATATATGTAGAAATACTGTTGGTTAAACATAAAAAAACTGTGGGTGTAGGCACGCTTCCCAATGCACCTCTGTCAGTCTTACCTATCTGCCAATATACCCATCTGCAGATTACTGTCCGTTACTACTCATAATCCAGGACCGACTGTGTACATAATACTATTATCTTTGATATGTATAATACTTAGGGATGTGTGTCTTCCTTTGCCATAGTGACACTGTGCCAATCACCTCATTTTTGTTTCATCAACCTTCCCTTTCGCCCAATCCAATGCATGTCTCTTACCTACTTCTGTCAAGGATACAATAGATACTAAGGAGAACCTAAAATAGTCTATAGCAGAGAAGGCTAAAGTAATATAAAACTAATCTATCCACTATTTCATAAATTCTTCTATGAAGTGTTAGAATATTAATTAAGTCAACATATATCTGATTTCATTTCCAAGGAATTTCTAGAACAGTCACATAATAAATTTAATTTCTTTTTCAATTTGACAAAAGCCACATAGAAATAATAATTCTACTTTGCAGAAAAAACATACCAGCAAGAGGTGGCTTATGTGAGTGAAGAGCACAGGGCACACTGACAATTAATTTATGATCTGGGATGGGGAGCACTTCTTCATTGTCATTCCTAATTAAAATAAAACAAAAAGTAAGTTATAAAGAATTTTTTTATGAGTCAGTTATCCTGATTTTCCCTCTTTAAAAAAAAATCAAACATCAAATGAAAAAAATAACTAGACATAAAATTAGAAACACTGAGTGAAATAATTGCAAAGTACAGTATTGTAATATTTTTATTCTATAATAATGACATTATACAAAGCCAAAAAGAATATAAAATTTCATGTCATACTGTTCACCCTTTTATGCTCTAAGTAATTCTTCAAAAATATAAAAATTAAGGAAAATAATTTCATTTTTAAAATTCTAAGTTTTAATACTTTTACATGACTTTGAAAACTTCTACTTTCTTACCTTAATGGTAAAGCAGTTTTTACTCGAACTCTTCCCAGTATAAGACCTTCATAAGGTTTTTTGTGTAGAGAATCTAATGGAAACACATACTCTCCTGAACTGGTGATCTGATAGAAAAGACCCCAAAAAGTAAAAATCTGTAAATATACATAAAGGGTTCCTTTTTCCCCCATCATTATACACTTTGTACTTAAAATATATATAAGCTATAGGCTAGTGTTATCCAACAAAAATTAAATGTAAGTCACATACCTAATTTGAAAGTTTTATAACAACACTTGAAGGCTAGGATTTTGAAGCTCCATCTCACACACTTTGGATATGGTGTCAGGAGGGACCAGTCCTTGGAGAAGACAATCATGCTTGGAAGAGTAGAGGGGCACAGGAGATAAAGACCCTGGATCAACATATGGATCAACATAGTAAATTTAGCAAGGGGTCAGGTGTTCACGAGATGGTGATGTTGGCTCAAGATAGGACAAGATCCAGAACCATTGTCCATAGGGTCAATATGTGTCACAGTTGACTTGATGACACATAACATCAACTTGTTTTCAACTAATATGGTGAAATTAAATTGTATATTTCATTACACTTAACATATCCAATATATTCTTTCTATGGTGTTGATGTTGTTATGTGCTGTCGTGTCTCCTTCTACTGATAGCGACCCTATGTACAGCAGCTTTGAAGCCTGCCCGGTCCTGAGCCAGTCTCACTGACTCCAACACACACCTACCCTCACTACCCTAGTTACTGTGTAAATTCATCTCATCTGAGGTCTTCCTCTCCTGTGCTGTCCCTCGACCCTTTCGAGCATGATGTTCTTTTCCAAGGACCAGTCCCTCCTGGCCATGTCCATCTCCAAGGACAAGTCCCTCCTGGCCACGTGCCCAAAGTATGTGAGAGAGAGGTTTAAAATCCTAGTTTCTAAGGAAAGATTGAGTTTCACACTCAGAATACATTTAAAATTACTAATATGTTACATCATTTTTTTTAAACTATGTCTTTGAAAGTCAACGTAAAATTTACTTTTATAGCATATCTCTATTTGAACTAGTCACATTTCAAATGCTGAAAATATGTGGCTACTGGATATCATACTGGACAGAAAAGCTGTAAGAGATTAAAATATACTATAAATATAACCTTATTATAATCTTCCACTAAATTGCAACTTTTTATCAAAATTTATTCCTAAAAACCATGCCACCATTAAACCAATTCTTTGTTGCTCAAATACTATTTACTGTGAGTAAAAAGAGCATACTAAAGCCTTTTTTTAAATAGAAATAGTCACACTAAAAACTGTCAGAGACAAAACTAGAAAGGAAAAAAATGAAGTTGATCACTGCACAGCACCTGGTCCAAAGATAGCCCTTGGCATCTGAAATTCAGAAGTTCTATTTTAACACTTCACCAAATATAGAATGACTCTCAAAATTTATTCAGACTAATAAAACTAATTTAAAATTAAAAATGTCATTTCATTAATTTATCATTGCTGTTGTTGCTGTTAGGTATCACCAAGTCCAGTACAACTCAGTGACCCTAAGAACAGTGGACCTGAATGAATTCTGTCCTATCCTTTGTCATCTTCACACTTCCTGACACATTAGAGTCCACTGCGGCAGTTACCGTGTTAATCTCCCTGGCTGACTAGTCTTCCTCTCCTTTGCTGACCCTTCACCATTACCAGCATCACATATCTCTCCAAGAAATAGCCCCTCCTAGCCACATGCCTAAAGTATATGAAGCAAAGTCTAATCATCCTTGTCTCCAAAGAGCACTCTGTACCCTCTCCAAGACATATCTGTTTATTTTTTTATCAGTCCATGGGATATTCAGTGCTCTTCTCCAACACTACATCTCAAAGGCATCAATTGTTCTCTTGTCATCCCTACTCATTATCCACATCTCAGATGCATAGCAAGTGATTGGAAAGACCATGACCTAAATAAGACATACCTCAGTCCTCAAGCTGAAATCATTATTCCTCAATTTGGAGAGGTCCCTAACTGCAGATTTTCCCAGTGCAATGCCTCTCCTTTTTTCCTGACTGCTGGTACAAAGAGTGTTAATTGAGGATCCAAGTAAGATGAAGTTGCTAATCGTGTCAATCTCTCCAACCACCATGATGTTGCCTATTGGTCTAGTGGCAAGAATCTTTGTTTTCCTGACACTGAGATGCAGTCCATATTGAAGGCTGCATTCCCTGATCTTCTGCAACAAGTGCTTCAAGTCCTCATTTTCAGCAAGCAAGGCTGTGTCATCTGCATAACTCAGGTTACTGATGAGTCTCACTCCAATTCTGTGCCTCATTCCTCTTTATAGAGTCCAGCTTCTTGAATAATTTGCTCCACATACAGATTGAATAGGTATGGTGAGAGAATACAGTCCTGATACATTCTCTCAACTTTAAGCAGTGCTTTAATGCTCTATTTGCAGAGCAGCCTCCTGGTCCAGGTATAGGTGTCATATGAGCACAATTAAGTGCTCTGGGCTTCCGAGTCTTCTCTGTGTCAGCCACAACTTGGCGCGATCCACACAGTCAAATGCCTTTGCATAATCAATAAAACACAAACAGATTTTTCTTGTATTCTCTACTTTCAGCCAGGATCCACCTGACATCAGCAAAGAAATCCCTGGTGCCACAGCCTCTTTTAAATCCTACTTGAACTTCTAGCAATTCCCAATCTATGTCCTATCCTAGACATTTCTTAATGATCCTCAGCAATATTATGCTTATGTGTGAATTAATGATATTGTTCGATAGTTACTACCTTCTGTTGGACCACCTTTCTTGGGAATGAGAACAAATATGGACCTTTCCAATCCATTGGCCAGACAGTTGTCCTCCAAAATTCCTGGCATAGACTGTGGTGACTGCATTCAAGGCTGCATATGTTAACTGAAACAAATCAATTGGTATCCCATTGATTCCTGGGGCCTTATTTTTTAACAATACCTTCAATGCAGCTTCCACCTCCTCTTTCATTACCATTGGTTCCCGCCCATATGGTTCTTTCTGAAATTTTTCAGTGCCAATCAGTTATTTTTAGCACAGTGATTCTGTGTATTCCCTCCATCTTCTTTTAATGTTTTCTGGGTCATTGAATATACTGCCCACACCATCTTTCAAGACTGCAACTCAAGGTTTAAATTTGTTTTGCAGTTCTCTCACCTTGAGAAATTCAGAGCTATTTCTTCTCTTTTTAATCTCCAATTCCAGCTGTCTACACATTCTATTATAATACTTAGATTTGTCTTCTCAAGCTGCTCTTTGAAATGTTTTGTTCAACTCTTACTTCAACATGCCTTTTCCTCTGTTTTATTGCAATTTTCAGAGTCTCTTCTGACATCCATTTCAGTTTTTTCTTTCTCCTCTATCTCTGTAATGACCTTTTGCTCTCTTCCTGGATGATACCCTTAATATCATTCCACAACTCATCCAGTTTTCCATCAGTGGTGTTCAATACCACAAACCTATTCCTAAAATGAACTTGAAATTCAGATGGAGCAGATTCAAGATAATATCTTGGTTCCTGTGGACTTATTTTCATTTTCCTCAATCTTCATTCGAACTTTGATTGGTGGTCTGACCCACAGTCCATTCCTTAGTTTTGACTGTCAATATTGAGCTTCTCCAACAATTTCATCCATAGATGTAGTCAATCATTAATATTCCCAGTATAAAAACATTTGTATCCAGGGAGCTCTGGTGGCCTAGTGTCAAGACACTGAACTGCAATCCCAAAGGTATGCAGTTCAAATCCACCAGATGCTCTGCTGGAGAAGGAGGGGGCAATCTCCTCCTGTACCAGTTAGATCTGATTTGATGGTACACCTAAAAACAATACAATAAAACCATTTGTATCCATTATATCAGACACATTACCTATTTTCAGGTACTTAAAAGAATCAGTAAACAGTAGGTCTTTCTTCTGTGGGGCCCATCAGATACAAAATATTCCATAAACTCTGAATATTATTAATTTTTAATATCCTTTAAATTCAATACAGATTATCCCTTAAATTATAACAGCATGTGCAACTGCCTAACAAATATTTCATACATTAGTTTTAAACTCCAGTTTTATCATCACTCATTAACAAAACATCTAATGGAACTGGTTAGTAATACAGAAGATTAACTATAGTTTTCATGCATTAACATTTTCTTGGTTTTGGTTTCATAAGCGGGGAAGTCTTTTTTACTTTTACGTCAGCACCTGACCACAAGGGCAGTACCATAATGTGCAACCTAAAATAGTCCTGCTATGATTCTGCATCAAATCAACAATAACAAAGAGCGCACAGAAATGCCACAAGAGCAAAAGCACAACTGAAAATCTTTGTTGAATCCCATAAAATAGGTACAAATGAACAGAGGTAATCACAAGACAGTGTGAAGCTGCCATTTTTTAGGAAAGGTAGCTTTAAGTACAAGTGATAAAGTGTCCAAAAATAAAACACTGCATGGTTTAAAATAAGGAAAGGTGTACATCAGTGTTGTATCCTTTCTGTATACCAAATAATCTGTATGTTGAGCAAATTATTCGAGAAGCTGGATTGTATAAAAAAAATGTGACATCAGGATTGGAGGAATGTTCATCACCTTTGTTCATAACCTTTGTTATATGATGAAAAAACTTCGCTTGCTGAATGTAAAGAGGACTTGAATCACTAGCTGCAGAAGGTTAAACACTTCAGCCTTCAATATGGATTGCATCTCATGGTCAAGAATACAAAAATCCTTACCATTGGACCAACAGGAAATAGATCCCCTTACTTGGATCCACAATCAGTACACTTGGTATCAGCAGATGGGAGATCAGGAGATATATTGCACTGTGAAAGTCTGCAGTCAAAGACTTGTAAAAATTATTGAAAAGCAAGGATGTCAATTTGAGGTCAAAGGTGCATCCAATTCTGGTCAAGGTCTTTCCAATCAGTTGCTATGCATCTGAGAACTGGACAATGAATAAGGATGATGGAAGAATTAATGCTTTTGAACTGTGGTTTTAAGAGAAGAGTACTGAATAGTCCATGGACTGCCAAAAGAACAAACAAGTATGTTTTAAAGAAAGTACAGCCAGAGTGCTCC